CTTGGGTCGTACTCCTACTCCCCCTCAAAGGTGCACCGGGCTGAAACAGGAGGGTTCCGGCGGTTCGACGCTCCGGGGGTTATTTTTGGGGTCTAAAACGTGTTTATTTTGCAGTGTTTCCTCAACTCCGCAATCCGTTCATTCAACTACCCCAAATGGACTGGAGCATCGTCAGGATCCTTTCTGACGTGGTAAAGCATATTTTCCGAGCATCGGTTGCTAAGTTATTGCACCTCAAAGGTTGACTTCGAAGGTAGGGTAACTTATGTTTGGGGTTACCCTTCCGTATTCGGCATGCTCGTCCTTCTGCTCTAGTTTTGCTCCAGTCGCCTAGCTTGACTTATAAGACTTCTTGCTCGCCAGGATCCCTACCCTTCATACCAATAGAGGTAGGGGTCATCTGCCCTTATCTTCACCCATCGATGAAGAACAAGCGGTGATTACCCTAGGGTCGTATGGCTTGACTGGTAGAACAGGTACTTTTGTAACAGCCCTACTGTGGCTCTGTTACAGTAACGGGGGCAGCCCTTTCTATATATCGCTAGAATCAAATAGAATAGATTCAGCTGTGCAAGATAGAAATCAAGTTGCAGATTATTCAACATCAGTAAGCTTAACAATTTCTGTAAAGTATCTCCTGAGTCACCAGAGAATCAAAATCCATTTTGATGTCTCCATCTACAAAAAATGACATGTCATCTTGGGGCAGCTGGGCGCCCGAGATGCTCCAGATGCTCCAGATGCCCCAGATGCCCCAAGACTTTTGTTTACCTGTAGATGGACGCCTGGGCATCACGCGACGACCGCCCTGAATCTTTTTGTCAAAAGACGGACTCAATACGCAAATCACGTCTTTTCGCTCCAAGATGTCGTCTCGATGTCTCATAACGAGTTCGTACAGTGCCAACTGAAGTGGTACTTTCTATCAATATGTTCGTATATTGACCAATCAAGGTCATCTGATAACGTCTTACAACCAATTGACTATGAATCATCGCTCTGTCCTGTCTTTAATTTGTGTATTTTGAACATCAAACAACGTTGTTTGCCCATAAAATCTCGCCGTTTGACCATTTCATACTTCTTTCTTTCTCGTCCTTTGCCAATAAAAACTTATCCTCTGACTATTGCACTTTTTTCTTTCTCGTCGGTTGCCCATAAAAACTCATCCTCTGACTATTGCACTTTGTTCTTTTAGGATTACATCTCGACGGTTGCCCATAGAAACTCATCCCCCATCTCTGTTTCTACTGGCGGTATTTTTTAGTGTAGAAGAATGTTTATTACACTCTATGTACTACTCAGGTTATCATCTTTTGGTTATTCATTCTAGCATCCATTGTTCTTTCGTGCTCTACCCCTCCATCTTATGCCCACTGCTCATTGACACTTTTCTCTGGTGCCCTCCATTCTATTGATAGGAGATCTCTCTATGGTGTCTTCAATAATTACATCATTATCAATATTCCTCTCAATAGCATCATTCTGTAACGTGGGTGCTATGATGGTGTATGACCGTGACTTCGATCAGGTAGAAATGGTAAAAAGGGAACGACGAGTTATGATTGTGCTCGTTCGATGGAAGGATAGAGTTTATTTGTTTGATCGTTATTTGTAGTCTAGAAACTTAATAACTTTACGGGGTCTCCTCGCTAGTAAAGATTCTGTTTGTAACGGAGCCATTTCAACTGCCTGGTGTATGGGTACACACAGGGCCCGGTTACATGCTGAGAGTTATTGTTAGAAGACAGTAGCACAGTGACATGCAAGTACAGGCAGTGTGGTTAGCTACCATCTGTCAGAGTAACTACATTCTGAGCGCTAGGAAGAGGATCTATTCATGGTAGCAATGACTGACGAGCCTATGCATCGCCAATGATTAGAAGGCCAGCCAGAGTGAAGCTCTGAGTGCTCGGCGATCCTCTACATACTCTGAGAATTGGAAGTCCGCCGGTAGTGGAAGGGACTATGCCTGGAAAGTCTACAATAAGCGAATACTCTACAGCAATGATTAAGCTTACACCCGAGCGACAGCTCATTTTTGCAGGCCCCAGTTGTGTGACAACAAAGGCTGCAGGTGTTACAAAGGCTTTGACTAAGGGTGGTTGCCTTCGGAACCGGAAGCACCCGCTAACACTTAGAGAGAAGTGGGGTAGCGGTGGTATTGCTTCCCTTCCGCTTGAAGACGTCACCAGAACTTAGTAATGAAGTAGGAGCAGCGGAACGGAATCTTTTGGAGTATAAGTACTCAGGATCCTCCCTGCCCAACTATCCAGATTCTCCAGTCTTCATCAGAGCTACCAAGTAATTTCCTACTCGGTAGCAGAGCCCTTAAAGATTATTGAGTTTTTGCGAAAGAATCTTTGAAATAATCTAAACCTGATTTCTATCTTGCAAGGCCACATCTTTCTATCGGATTCTAGCGATACGTGGAAAGGCTGTCCCCATTACACTGGCTGGCCTTCTAGCCATTGGGGATAATAAACTCATCAGTCATTACTCCCATGAATAGATCCTCTTCCTAGCGTTCAGAATGTAGTTACTCTGACAGCTGGTAGCTAACCATACTGCCGGTGCTTCCATGTCACTATGCAACTGGCTTCTAACAACAACTCTCAGCATGTAACCGGTCCCTGTGTATACTCACACACCAGACAGTTAAAATGGCTCTATTACATTCCTCGACGAAGTAGTTCAGGTAGTACGAAGTCACGATAGGTTGAAGTAGGAAGAATTGTAAAGTCAAATAGAGTTGTAACTCACATATCAATGATTTTATATTATTAATTTTCTGATTTCGCCTATGATGTTTTGGCTAGTCAGTGGATGACACAGTATTTATATCTCTCGCTTGGGGCCTGCCCAAAACCCTGAAAACAACTAAGAACTTTTAACTCCTAAGTCCGTAACCCAAACTCCTAAGTTAATTAAAACCCCTCAACCATTTACCCATTCGTATGCATGTTTCCATTAACATTTTCCCAGCCATTGGGGCGTCTGGGGAATAATCGTCAGCATCGACTAGTCATAAGTACTGGGCAACAAGACTCCCTACCCAGGACTTTTCCTGTATCACTTCCCCATATAGCACAGTCTTCTCATTCCTACCAGTACCGCCAATAGGTACTCATCCGGCTGATAGCTTGCACCGATCCTCTCCGAATGGTCCTATCTTCGATCAGATTGCCTCCAGTTGACCCTTATATATCCATCGGGTCAATAGCAACCCGTTCTGGTGGTTTGGCGCTCCAGGGGTTATTATTGGGGTCGAAAACGTGTTTTTTTACTAGGAAAACCGCGGCTCCGTGTTTGGTCAAGTATTGAACGCACCATACCTCGTGGGTGCGAACCAGAGTTGATAGTGGTGTTTAGTGTGTGGGGGTATTGGGGTGTGTCTACTCGCCTTTCCCTTGTTCCCGTAAATGCTTGGCATGCCTGTAACACAAAGCATGGTCATTTTCAGCCAATTGACTGGCTACGGATAACAGGTGCAGTTACTCATGCGTTCATTAACTGGCCGGAATTCTAAGTAGGGATTTGATTGCAACGATATCCAACCATTTAATGAACGCTGGAGTACAGATTTCGAGAAACGATAAGTTGTTGGTCATTGTCTTCCTTTCCTTAGTAGAGAGTAAGATACTTTGAAAATCTATTGTTCAACAGCGGTTAATTGCCTAACGGTGGGTTGATAGAACAGGGTGGCGGCGAAGAATTACAAGACCGGTGTGATAAAGGTTAATATTTTGGTAGTAATAGAGTCTGTAGACCTGCCTACTGGCCCAAACCCAAGCGGGGCGGTTTAGGGATTATTTGGTAACACATCATTTCCTATAATGGTAAGGACTCCTAGATGCAGTTACATCCCTTCGTTCGTTAGAGCAAGAAGGGAGACATATTAGGCCCACGACGGCGTGGTGACATTCAGAAAATCTAGCTACCTACAGACTGTAGAGACATTAGAATAAGTGTAAGAGAGATCACAGAAGGTGACTTCACAGAAGGTGACTTCACAGAAGGTGACTTCACAGAAGGTGACTTCACAGAAGGTGACTTCACAGAAGGTGACTTCACAGAAGGTGACTTCCCAGAAGGTGACTTCACAGAAGGTGACTTCACAGCAAAAGAGGTTCACGGAGTGAGGGTTAGGTGTACTACCGAGTAAAAGCTGCCTACTAGCTCCGGTCATGAAAACGCACGAAGGGATATGCAACGGATTTTCTTACCTAAATGAATGCCACAGCGGGAAAGACTTTTTGAATCTCCCCATCCGGAACCACTACTGTCAAAAATGTGCCGGGAACACCAGACACAATTCAGCAACTTGCTTTACATCTTGCGAGTTGGAAGCTTGCAGGTCACAAATCTGCTAGCAAAAACGCAAAATTCTCGGGTCGGGTCTAGTTTATTTTCTGGCATCATGGTGGGAGGACTAAGGTTAAGAATCACGGGTCCCGGAGTGTTTGCGTCTTTGCTAGCTATAGGAAGAATCCAAGTTTATAAGGTCGGAGCTCGAGGGTCGAAGTCATTAGCTAGAGGTTCAATAAAGCACTCTAGCTTTGAGTCGGTACCTTGCCAGTCACCGGCGTAAAACTGCAGCTATGTCACTTAGGAGATGTTGCCCGCTGTGGCATTCATTTGGGTAAAAACGTCCGTGACATCGTGCTCTTCTACCGTTCAATACAAGTTTGGGCGTTTAGACTACCAACGGGCACTATTACAAATCCCTTGGTATAGCGTCAAGTTAATTCAAAAAGTAGCCTACGATGGGAGTATAAATTATCTGCTTAAGTACCTCTGTAAAAAAAGAGAAAGAAAAAAAAAAGATGAACAATAAATAAATTAAAGGGAAGAACTTTTTTGAATTTTTCTCTACCCGAAACACTTCGTTCTATCGCAAATCTTTATCCAAAGCGCGAAATTACACCTAGCTTCGCCGATTTCATCGAATTACGCTATCCCTCCTCCCTTAAATACCCTCATTACGACTATCGTTATTATCAGTCATCTAGCTTCTGATAGTCATCCCCTGTTTTTCTACTGCACTCATTCTCGATATCTTTGACTGTAGGTAAGCTCCGCAACGATGGGAGTTGAATCCCTGCTATAAGCACAAATGCTATGACTGCAGTGAAAACACTCCACAGGAAGCACAATCGAAGTGATGAATCGTATGAGCTAATGACTAAATCCTCTAGATGTTAATATCTTTCGACCTAGTATTTCCCCGAAGTTGATTGCTAAAGCACAAACTAACCTTGGTCTTGAGTCTCCTTTGGTAAATCGAAAATAGCTGTGACACTTTTTCTAACCTTCTCTATCACTTCCCTTTTCCCTTCCCCTATGATTCTTCTTTCCAAAAAATAAAGGAGGAAGTTTTGGACTATTAAACTACTGCTTGCCACACCAATAACGCTTCCCAAACAACGCCATAAAATCAAGGTGCTAGTTGCTACTGCTTGATCGTTTTGGGACGAGGTCGCAAGAACACTCATCAACGTCGACGGAAAAACGAACCCTACACCCAAGTTGGTCGGGACAAGAAATAGAAAGTAGACCCACCCAGCAAAGAATCGATCCATGCAACATAAAGAAATTGCCCCAACGATTACTAGAATGGAACCTATGAAAATAATAGGCTTCAAGCGGCCTGTTTGGGTGATTATTATTCCTGCCGCAACCGCCGATGTGGTTCCTGCCAGACTAGGAACAAGAAGACGTGTACCTGCGGCTGTAGCAGATTCCAGGAGGACTGTCTGAAAATATAGCGGCAGATTGAAGAATACCTGAAGGGGCCAAGAAATTAGATCGTTGTTCGAGTGAGATTCTATGAAGATCTTACTGTGTTTATAGTAACGGCAGCAAAGAAATTGTTGAAAATAAGATTTCCGCGTGGTTTACCCCAGACAAGCTCCAGAGGCATTACTGGCGATTTCGCTACTTTCTCCACTCTCAATAGTAGGTTTCCGAGAACGAAACTCATGATTAAGGATACAATGACAATAGGGTGAGTCCAAGGAAAGATGTTGCCTCCGAGACTCATGCCCAAAATCAAACAACCAACACTCGTTGTCTGCAGGGTTTTGTCAATTGGTATTATTTAAGCAACCAGAAAGTTAATCTTACCAAGTAAAGAGAACCAGCCAAATCGAACTCACTAAACCTTTCCCATGTACCCATTTCGATGGTATTACCCAGTTCTTCTGGACTTGGAATTGTCCACATACATACAACCATACAGAATATACCAAATGGCACTTGAATCTATGTGATTTTCTCATCACTTAATCAGCAATCTCTGGCCGCCAGAGGCATTTTGCAGCTAAGAAAAAAAACCTACACCGAATTCCCATCGCCAGCCTATTGAATCCGCTAAGAATCCTCCGACCGCCGCTCCTAATCTATTCCAATTATAAGTTTTGCATACCGCTTCAAGCAAATTTGGATCTGCTTACGCTGAGCCCGTTCCGTATGCGAGATTATTAATGCTCTGGTAGTTTCCTCTGATTTCAATTGGTAAGATATCACTTAAGACAATCGCACCTATAGAGCTTAATTAGCTGTTGTTATTTTATGCTCCTTCTGACCCTACTAACCCATTGTCAACATCCCCCCAGCACCAATACCGCATACTGCTCTAGCAGCAATAAAGCTTCCCATACTTCCAGCTAGTGCACACCATGCGGTAGCGACTGTGAACACAAAGCACGAAAATACGAAAGGGATTTTTCTTCCAATAGTATCAGATATCCGGCCATACAGTGGCTGGAATGATGTCGACGTTAGCATGAAGGATGTCGATAACCAGGAGGCAGCATTCGAAGAATTAAACGCAGATGTTATTGATGTATGTGTTGAGGCCATTATTGTCGAGTCGGCGGCTGCCACCTAGAGTGTGATACAGCTAGTATTAAAATTTCGTCGTCGATAGAGTTCACTACGGGCTTGGAGATCACATACAAAATTGGCAATAAGAATCCCTACATAAATATTAGTGGTTTAACCAGGTTTAGAAGAAAATAAGTGGAGTTTACGAACCTGTAAAGATGATCCAAAACTTTCGTTTTGATATTCCTCCATGAAAAGCAGTTCCATTTAACGTTGATACGTCGTCCTCCTTTAGATCCAGTCCATCCTCTGAATCTAAATGAATGCCCAGAACAGGGAGAGGCTGAGACTCTACTCCTAATGCACCAACGCTAACGACTTTGCTTATTATTGGGAACAAAACATCAGAATCCTCTTGGGAATGCTCCTGTGAAACAGAGGTGTATGTGTTCGCCGGAGCTAACAGCAGAGGTGTACGCTCAGCCATCGTGGTATTTTCGATGTCAAGAGCTGCTGCGTGGGATGTATCACAGCTTGACATCGTTATATGGATATAGCCTTTGAGTATCTCAGTTGCTTCCTCCTCTTCGCCTACAAGTCAGTTTAAATGGTACGATTGAACGGTTCTAATACAAAAAAAATGGGATTACAGGAGAAGTGCGGGTTGTATATAGCATATTTCCACGCACACGCAACCCTGGAGGGCTAGAGTGTGCGGGTCGGATGGAAGTAGAATCAGGAGTGTCTCGAAAAAATCTCAGGATAGAGATGGCTGCAGCTCGCCAAAGAAGACACCTCTACTAATGGCTGCGGGGTACTACTGGGCTTGCTTCCTATTTCATATTACTCAAGTAATATATGCGCAGCGGGGCGTGCAGGATCTTGTGTAGATGCTCTCTCGGAATCCCAGCCGCTTCCGGGCCCATCATGCGAATTTATGTGTATGAATTCTTTATTGACAAATTTTCAATAATTTATCCCCCGAAACCCCCTACACCTGTATTTTACGAAGACAATCCTCTACCAATCGGGATTTACTTTGCGTTGGGATCGAACCGTAGAATACACAGCTATATATCAGTCAGACCTTCGTGACCGATTTTTTTTTGATGCGTACTCAATTCTAAAGTACATAACCAAATCAAGTATGTTCGGATGTGGAACTACCGAATCCTCTTTGGAAAACTTCAAATCTCTAGTAATTTAGTGATCTCCAGGCTTTTCCACCGAAGGTACTCTAGACGTTGCTCGAGGGGCGTTGGTATGTAGAGTACATGTACTCTACATGTAGTCCATCAGAATAGAGATGCATCTAGGCCTACTAGAGTACTCGAGAGAGTATCTTGTAAGCGGAGTATGTACATGTAGAGTAATACGCATCGTATTTTCAAGCTGGGCACCTGGCGTGAAAGTTTAAAGGGTTTTGTGTAGTGGAGCATTAATAAGGTGGATTTTTGCAAGCCAAGTGAGATGATAAAAGTTTGTTCGGTCGCACCTTTCATTTTCTTCCCATATCTTTATGTCTCGAAAAGATTTCATATCTAGATAAAAGGTCTAGGATTCGAATTGATATCATGATGAGTCTTGCGCGTGTGACTTGCAATTCCGGCTGTTATTATACCTCAAGTAAAGATATACCACATGTAGCTACCACATTACTTCGGGGTAGGACATGACAAGAAGGTGGGAAAGCGAGGTCGGTGGGTTTCAGCTGCATACACTCATGCAGAGGAGTAGAGTACTCTAGAATGGTAATACTTGCTTCGCGCAGTTAACCCGAGGTACCAACGGCATTCGGAATGTTAGCAAATACAAATATAGAAGTCACTTTAGATCTTAAAGAAAAGGGTTGGACAGCTTAGAGCTTTTGCTCTCTACTAGACTGCATGTGCTGATGTATTTTCATTCTATCAATTCTTCTCGGATATAATGGTCCCATCACAAGCCATGATATTGAGAGACTCCTGGGCCCAGTGCATTTAGGAAATCTTACATTCTTTTCATCCTGCCGGTGCCGCAGATCAACATCATAGGGACACTTTTTGACTTATTGCTTAGTGATCAGTTCTCACGATATTTCTAAGATAAGACCATGTATCTTAGGATTGCATGCCCTCTTACCCCTCACCCCCACCGCACAAAGTATTTCCGCACTGAAATCCTTTAGGTTTCCCTACACAGCTAGGACCACTGTGTAACTTCTAGCTCCCATCTGTGTGGCTCACTTCGACATATTTTCCCCCATTGTAAGATAAGAACCAAACTCCCGGATTCAAATGTAAACTGATTTAACTTCCCCTGCCAGATTCCCGTGTCGAGTCTGGATCGGATACAAGTGCTGGAGTAGAGTATACAGCTATATTTTCACCGCATGGAAGTACTTAGGAGAGGAACCGTAGCTTAAATTACTGCATTGGTATTATCTGATCATGTAGAACTCCAGATCTCCTGTCACTCGAGGTCTCGGCGGGGACCAATCATACTCACGTTGAAAAAGGCATGGGTGTGAAGTTAGCCATGGTTAACGTTGTGCTCCCCACCTCCGGGGAAACCCTGCTGCATCGGCACATCGGCAACATCCGGCCTTCTTAGGCAGGTTAAGGGTCTCATCCCCTACATCATAAAACATCACTCGTCGACAAATCTACAGGAGGCGATCACGAGATTTTTAATCTCCTACGTAAGTAGGTAGCTAACACTACAACATACATATACTATATGTATATAATCCAGAGTACCAAAATAACAACATGTATCATTAGATGATTCTCACGGTGATTATAAACTACATGTATTTCATAATTCACCAAAGGACATATGCACCACGATCAAGGAATCTTAGAATACATTGCGCGATTCGATGCGATATAGGCGACGATAGAATATTGGTCCTTGCATACATATATTTCTACGAGAGTACATGTATTTATTTATTGATCATGAGGGCCACGTTGCGATCCGAAACCCATATGCGTGTTCACGCACGGCCCTTGGCCAGCGCCTGGGCATATATGCATCCAGCATGTGTATCTATTCTACTCTACTCTATCAACATTGAACGAGAATTGCCACTTTGGGGAACTACAATCGGGGGAAGCAGATACGATTTTGAGCACGCCAGCTAGTGAGGAGGTTATCCTATGTATCTATCGTTCGGTAGGGTTGCTATATCCGTGGGGCAGGCGAAATTTGATATGCTTTTTTCATAGCACATGAGCCGAACTCTTCAATTCAGTTAGTATTTTTGAGAAAACAGTATCTACTTACATTTAACTCACCCGTCGATATGTATTGTGCAATGTAATCTAGAAATTCTAGAGTATCGTATTGCTTTAGTAAAATTCATTGCATTCATAAACTGGTAGGTCAGTTGCTCGTGCGTGTGGTGCTCCGTTGTGGGATCTATGAGCTGTCCTAGAGTACAGTCGTCTCTGGGTCAACGACGAAACCGGCTCGATGACGAATGACTACTTTTGGGGCTGATAGTCAGTCAAAGCAAAGGGGTCGGAGCGCTTCTGTTGGCTTTTGTTGGCTTCGATTGGCCTATTCGCCATCGGACTGGTTTCGTCGTTGACCCAGAGACGACTGTAGAGTAAGAACAAGACTTACAGGTTCGGCCCAGTGACTTTGCCATTGGCTGAGCTCGCCAGGCCTTAACATGTTTATTTTCAGTGTTGGGGGCAATAGCTGACAGCATGCAGATTACTAATTAGCGCTAACCCTTTATGGGAGTATCCTTTGCGGCTCTGCCAATGCGTAAATCCCACAAACCTCAAACTAAACTTTCGCGTTCTAGAATCCGAGCACACCTGTCCTAATTGCTAGGCTCAAGGAAACACCGACCCCAGCAAGCAGACGTTCGACTTTCCATCTCATAACTAGCTGAGTCACTCAACAGCACGGGTAGAAGAAAGCAACACCAACATACAGCGGGTAGGGGGAGAAGGTAACTGTCTCCCTCACGAAATATATCCCGCTATCGTGCTTCTGATTTCCTCGGAGCTCCCCAGAACTGTATCGCCCCAGATAGAGAGGGATATCTTCCTTCCCTTCTCCTTTCACGATTCACGAAGTCACGATCGTGAAGATGGATGACCCACCTGCATTAATCTTGTCTCTAGACTGGTCGGATGGGACAACAACCTGGCAAGATGGTGTAAACGGCCCGACGGAAGAGATGCTTGACGTGACGCCAGATGAGAAGGGCAATCAGGACTACCTACGGCCAATCGAACCGTACAGTAAGAAGGAAATCAGCTGGTTATGTAAGATGGCGGGGTGGCTCGTAGAGTCCAAGGACCCAGAGATGTACAAACAATACAAGAACAAGAAGATATGCCTCACGAGTCTCCCCGAGAATTACAGGTTATATGAACATGTCAAACAACCAGGCCCTGTAAGTTTACTAATGAATAGTATTCCCTATATTCGACTTTTCTGACTGACATCTAAAGGGTACGGAAGGTAAAGCTCGAATCGATACTTACCTCTATGGCCATCCCAAAGGGCCTAGAAAGCGCTATAGATCTGCTGCAGACTTTCAGCCACATTTTGTCTGGTTGGCAACAGATCCGAGTAAGAATCCAGAAAACTGTAAATGCCGCGTCTGTAGCGGTCGAGCTGCCCCCGACACGCCAGAGGCCCCAAGTTCACCAACCCCACCGAGGAATACCGCCGTTGCTGTTGTTGTGAAGGAAAAGCCTGCAGCAACAGCTCATAATGTTCCAGCTACAAGATCGAAGCTCGCATCAGCCTCGACTACTACGACGAGGAAAAACACAACTACGCCAGCTGTTGCTACTCGACGCTCGCTATCTACAGCAGCCAACTCTCGCTCTTCTACTCCAATTGCAGCACCTGCAGCACCTGCACCCACTGCGCCCACTGCGCCCACTGCGCCCACTGCGCCCACTGCGCCCACTGCGCCTACTGCGCCCACTGCATCTACGACATCTACCGCACCCGCAGCGCCTATACTTCCCACGCCGCCGCCTTTTCCTTTTTACTTTCTGGAGCAATTGCCTACTACCCCGGAAAGGATTTCTTATGCTCTGGGTGGTCCATATATATTTCGACCTGGAGAGCTTGTTTGGTGTCAATGCACTGAAGCTTGGTCTCTTGGTATAATTGTGTCAGGGCCCGAAGCCGGGCCTTTACAAGTAACAAATAACTCTCAGCCGCAGCAAAGCTATACTGTTCAGGTATTGAAATCCCCGCTTGATGCTGCAATGTCAACACCTTATCCCGGAATTACTGTGGCCAGTCTTAGACCCTGGTTGGCGTGGAGTACACCCGACTTGAATAACATACCCCTACGGAATATCCAGTCATATGACGATGTGGTGTGGGAGCAATTTCACGGCGTCCGTGGCCTCGAAGTTGATGCGAGCATTATGAAATCCAGGGACATTGATTCTTCTTTCAATCTAGTTGACAGGGTTGAGTATGGCGGTTGCAGCTACTACGCCGGAGTATTTTATGGGGCCGAAAAACTCTACATCGGTGACGCTGTACGGTTGAAAAGGCTGAATCCATCTGCTCCTACGTCTGGATTGGAGATTATGGTGATTTCAAGTATCCAAGACGTGCGGTTACAGCCTTCGCCGAGTAATACGAGGAGTAAATCTACAGATGTCGCTGTAGTTGGTGACGTATACATGCTTCTTTCATACCGCGCCGGCGAAGCACCATCGCCACTGCTCCCGGATTGGTTACCACAGAGATTAATTAGGGAGACTACTCTTCGGAATCGGGTCACGTCTATGCCCACCTCACCTCAACCTATTCTCTCGACTTGGAAATTGGTTCACGCAGCCCATACTATAAAACTTGAAGACATCAAGGGGAGGTGGTATGAATCCTCGCTGTTGATACCGTTCCTCAAGGGCAGAGAACACTTTCAGCAAACCTTACAGAGTGGTACCTGGGACGAGGTTGCAACCCAAATGAATGAGATGGGAAATGCTGGGGCGGCTTCTAGTCGTGGATGGTGTAGAACCGGCAAGAGAAATGATGTCTTGACTACTTCGGTTCCTCCCAGTTTTTCACTAGAAAGGGGTGGTATCGAGCATGGTATGGAGGGACTAGCGCTTCAACAGCAATCAAATCAGATGCTGCAGAATACACAGAGAGAGATGGTAGATCTTACTGGGGATGATGAAGATGCAGAGGCTATTCAGCAACAACATCATGAAGGAGAATACGGACTCGACGGAGGAGTGGATCTTGAGCCTGATGAGGCGTTTATGCGCCAAATGGCTGAGGATGTTGCCAGTTTCCTGAAAGATCCTGGCGATTCGTTCTATGGAAGCTTATAACAGAATTCCTTTTCCCTTGTGCCTTTTTTATATCTTTCCCCTTCCTTTTTTTTTTCTTTTCTCGCTGGTGTGATGCTAGATTTAAGCAGGCTAAATGGGGTTGGATAACGGATTGCATTTGTATTATAGTTATGGGTAGCCACATGTATGCAGAAGGGAGCGAGAATAGTGTTGAGACTTGAGTGGGCTGAATTTAAGATGTTTCCTTCCTCCTTCTACCCTGTACTAGCAAAGATGCAAAGTCCTCGGGTCACATGTAGGATATTTTCTAGCATCATGGTGGGAGGACTGAGGTTGAGACTCACGGGGCCCGGGGACTTTGCGTCTTTGCTAGTATCACCCACCTATGCTTTATCTGTCACTTGGGCTAATCATTGTAGGGGTTTACTCGCGCGTTAATTAAGTCCTGAGAAATTTTGTGAAGTCATTGTAACCAAGAATTCCCAGGACCTAATTAATGGGCGAGGAATTCCTGCTTTTTATAAAATTACACGGATTCTATGAAATGGGGGTCAAATAAGGCCCTGTTTGGTTGCAACAATTATTGGCTCAATCCATAGGATAGGACCAGAGGCGTTCGGTAACCACCTCTTCTTACCCTCCAAAACCGAGTGAAACCACAAAAGGGCCATAATTTGAACTTCACCTCAGGAGGCAAATTTCAGATGGTTTCGCATGGACTAAACAAGTGCCACATACAAAGCCACCACAACAAAAAAAATTTAATTTTTGATTTTTGGGCAGCTATGATCTTTCCTATCAATAGATCTCATATTTAACAAAAAATTGAAATTGGAGTGATGGTGATGGAGTTGTGACACCCATTATTGTATTGAGGACAAGAAGCGATGAGGGGCGAGATAGAGGTAAAAAATAGGCTCAACCAAAATTGCCAGTTTTGTTTGAAACCCATGGAACGGCAATAATTCAAATCAATTCTTTTCATGATCCACAGATTGCAATTTGTTGCAACCGAACAGGGCCTAAGGCTCCGCATGGTATCAACGGCCGTTACATAGTATTCGTCCGTCCAAGGGCTCAAGAGGCCGTTGAGCGGCCGATGACCGTTCAGAGGGTATTTGGCAACGACCAACCGTTCAGTATAGGAACGGAGCCTAACTGTTAACGGTCAACTGTATGTAAAGTGTGAAAGGACCTCTAGAGGTCCTTTTCCCCAGTGAACCGCGACTGGTTCATGACAACCACGCAACATGTCACCATACAACGGAACCGTTGAGACCAAGATCCTCTTTAAAAAATCATAAAGCACTAGTAGTCCGTTCGTGACACCCGAACGGAAGCTCGCCTGGCAGCGAAATCGAACGGCCGTTGATACCATGCGCAGCCTAAATAATCTTTGGACAGTTAAGCTTCGTGACGTCAGCTGTTGCCAAGGCCGAGTGACACATTATGACACACCACGAACCTACTTTCTTTTCTACGTTCGTCACACGAGAGTTTGGGCCAAGAAAAATCAAAGGGCCTGAAGATCTTCCAGCTTGCCACAACATAGAGTGACTACATGTAGATAGTAGTAAAGTATATATTCGTCAGTGCAGAAACAACCTGCACACTGGCGGGGGTATATCTATAAGCTTCCATCATCGATCATCGATGACGTTCTTTCCGCATCGATCCAGCACACCAGCACACCAGCACACCAGCACACCAGCACCACAACCACAAATCAAACAACCTCAAGTCTCAAGCACGCCCTTAAACACTGCAACAACAACACAACTAGCGCAGCGCAACATTGTCTACTAAGGCAAACCCACAATGTTCGGAGCCATCTGCGCCGGCCGCGCAGGTACACCTCCCCATCCTCCCCCTCCTCCTCTTCCCACCAGTTGAACTGACGACAACTCCCAGTCCAAACCAACATCCAAGCCGTTTCCGACACGCAATTTATTTTTCATCTCCCCTCACCCTCCACGATCAATCACCTCGTTGTTTTCCTACTTCCAGAGGCTGCCGCACTCTTACCTCCAACCCACGGTGCGACAGTCCACATCCAATTCCCCAACAAACCCTTCCAACTCCTCGGCGCGATCTCGCTCTCGAAGCCGAGCGCCATCTTCCGGCTTCGATCTACGGCGGGCGCAGCTCAAGGCACCGAGGGTGCGGATGGTATGATGGACGATGCCGCGGCGCTTGCAGTCGGCGATGGTGAGGCAATACTGGGGATCTCAGTGGAGCCTCTGGAGAGCGTGCAGGCGCAGGTAGCAGCGCTCGAAGGCGCGCTGGTGGTGAAGAGTTCTACGGGCCCGCCGCCGACGACGGTACTCGCCAGGAGAATCATAAAAAATGCGTTCAATTTCTTGTCGAGCTTTGCGACAGGAAGCGCGAGCGGGGATGTAGTCCCGCTCAAGAGCTTCCAGGACTGGTGGGTAAAGTTTGAAAAGAAGATTGAGTATGACCCTACATTTCTTGAGAGGGACGATGAGTAGATTGCACAAGGGTAGACGGATATAGGTGTTCGGAGTTGCTTAATGGTTAGTTCATTACATGGTATTTTATTTCTACTCTGCTTAGTGGGAGTATCGTATTGACTATATAAAATTAGAGAAAGGGTGAGAGTCTTTGGTTATACTGTGAGTACACTTCTGGTCTTCAGTGTTCAAAGGTTTTGGTAAATCTTCGATTCGAAATTAAGACGTAATAGGTAACTATACTGAGCTCTACATAAATTTATTCTTTACACTTTAGTCAAAACCAAGCCATGAATTTTATACATCCCAAGTTGAAGAGAAAAGGAAAGAACCCATCAAGAATACTAAACGGTTAAAGTGATGAAAAAGCAAAATCCCCACCTACGAGTGGGAGAGTGCTGGAAATAACAAAGGAAACTCCTATCTCCAAAGAAAGAGAGAACAAGAATAATGACCCCAAAACTTGCCTGATGCAAACGAACCATGTATAAAACAAAAGAAAAAGCAGGGGGGAAAAGGAGAAAAAAAAAAACCAAGTGGATAATCTAATTGCGCGGCGGCAAGGGGCTTCTGGTCCTCGGTATTCCACTTCTACTCGGCGAGACGTTCCTGCTCCTGCTGGAAACTTGTAGCCTCTCTCTACTCCCTATCCTCGATCCCATACCCGATCTTATAGCATTCACACCAGCACTTCCCAATGGGGGATCATACATTCCGCTTTTGCCCTTCCAGCCAATCTCCTCCTCGTCAGATGAGGATGAAACACTTCCCAGTTCAAATTCCGCCCCGCTAGCATCATGACCTTCTTCCATCACTCGCTCATATATAATCCCACCGTTGGGTCCAAGAATTTTTCTCTTGCTGTTCTTGCCTGAAACGATAATGCTACGCCAGATCTTCCCCCTGCGCTCTCGACCTAGGAGGAGAAATCCTGCTATACAGAAGATAAGCAGGAATAGTACAATTCCAGGAATTCGACGTGGAACTTTGTCGCCTTCATTCCAAAGATTGTCGTGCCAGTGAGACGAATCGCCCTCGCTGTCCATGCTGTTGTTTGTGTTACCGCTATTGCCTGCCTGACCCGGCTGCGGGAGATGGTATGGTGAATTTTCTGCCTCCGAAGAGGCAAACTCAAAGTCACTAGGCAGACCATTGACACTGGGGGGAGTATTGCTTCCAAAACCAACTGCCATTACAGTGTTATCCTTGGGGGGAACCTTGCTAGAAACATACAGAATTATTTTGCCTAATGTCCACGAGACCTCCACATCTCCAATTTTATCAACGGCTTGGAATGGGTTGATGAAGCCTTTGTCTTTAGCGGCATCGATAACCTCTGTTACATTATGCTTTGAGCTGCCAGTTGGTTCTAGCCCGACCCGCGGGATTCCAATGCCAGTGTGCAGGACATTAATGAGCCATGACGCTTTGAAGCAAACTGCCGCGGCGGTTTCTTCATCTACCTTTTTACCCCATTTATGCTCCTCTATGAGGTCTTCAATATGGGGCCAATCCTGGCTGCAGAATTCCTTGACTCGGGCTTGGTACGTTGCGAGATCGTAAGACTTTGTTTTAAAGTCGATTTCAAAGATTTCGTGAGTGGTGTGCCAATATTCTGATACGCCCACGAAGTGATTGATATCAAAATCTATTGCAGGGGCATGTTTGCCTGTGAGCAAACATGAAACCTCCGAACATGGTCCATCCTTCGCGAGCAGAGGATAGGTTTGAGAGAGACATTCCTCGAATTTGCCGGTTCCCACCAGGTGCTCCTCCTCTAAAGCCTTCAAGTCTTGGGTGTCGATCTCCTTCCCATCTAATGTGAGCTTTAATCCGACAGGTAAACAGGGATCCGGTAACTCTGTGACGCCATTCCCACCGCTTGACAGTAAAAGACTATCCACATATCGTATCCGGGCTTGATTGACTCCAAACCCAAGCCATGTTGTAACAAAAACTCCAAACTCCATAGGCGTTCCATCTAATGTCCTCATCCTTAGTAAAGTCAGATCTTCCGCATGCTTCGCCGCTTCCGTCGCATTCGGTGCAAACGCAATCTGCGCGCTAGCACCCCCCATATCCAAAAACCCATAGGTATGATGTCCTTTTCCATGTGCATGCTTTGAAGGGTCGTCAAATCCGCCCAATAGATAGTTCGCGGCAATCCATCCATACAGGCCTTCGGTCTCACCGGAAATAACCTGTATATGCACACCACAGTCGGGTAGCAGGAATTCTGTGTTGCGCCGCGCATACGTGCAGATCTCATCTAACAACCTCCGGCGCTGCATGTCAGGAAGCAGCCGCATTCCCGCTGTTGCTAACAAAAAGAGTGGCGTTTCCGCTATTGAATCCTTTGGGATGTGCTCCAATGCATGCCCAAAGAGTTTTGCGAGGTGATCAGGACCAACATCTTCAGGGTGATCGCCGAATGTCGAGATACCTGTGATAGAATCGGATTAGAATTTTGTTTGCCAACGGCATTGCAGCGATGGTTTGGGGGAATACCGGGGTGTATCTTTTTTGCCCATTTTTTACTTGTTATGATCTCGGGGAGACCTGAGAGCTGGTCTTTAGTTGCCTTTTTACGGGCCTTCTCGGGGTCGTCCCAGCGGTAGATATGAATGCGAGTACCACTCGATCCAGCATCCAGGATAGCTCCGTCTTTAGATTAGTGTTAGTCAAAGCTTATCTCCAGAGTAACGAGTTGTTATCGGCAGGAAAGAGGGTGCGATAGCGAGGAGTGGTGGGTTGGGTGAAAAACTAACATTTTTCAGCTGGCATCGTGGATACTGTGGCTTTTTGGTTCTTTACACAAACAAAACGAGGGTGTTGGGTTAGAGGAAAAGAAAGAAGGAAAGTTAGAATTCAGATTTGTAGCAGAACCACTGATTAGTATGAAAGACCTTAGAATAAACTTTGAAAAATGATCGAGGAGAACGTCAGGGCCCTCAAGCTAAAACGAGTGGGTTGTGAAGAGACTGGTGTGAAGAGTACAGGCTTCAGTAGCTACATGTAGCCAGGAGGACCCTTATCATGCCAGCAATTGAAACGTTCCGCTATCGAACCTCGAAAGTCTTAAAACACGAAGGAGTCTTGGCATGGACGCATGCATACGAAGCATTATACAGCATTACACGCAAACATTCCCCACTCATCTATTTGTAGCAGTTACCCCTTTTTGATCGTCTTTCCTGTGTTTTCAAGGTTTATCACATTTATCACATTTGCCAATTCGCCACAAAAACGATCCAATCAAAAGCCTCTTATCGACAAGGTAAAACCCTCGATCGTCGGTTGTGGGAGCTCCCGTAAGCTCTACTTTAAGAATGTATTGATAACACAAGCATGAGTATAATAATAATAAAACAATCCATCGTCTCTCACCGTGCTTTCCATTTTACCCCCTCTAACAACATTCCCGCGGGAAAAAATCAAGTTCTCTACAAATTGTATGGGTTTGCGCGGAAAAGAAAAAAACAGACAGAAAACAGCCAAGAATCCGGCGATCACCGCTGTCCGTCTACAACCAGAACCTTGTAAAAGCTCAACCCCGCGGCTTGAAATACAAAAAAAGAAAGAAAAAGCCTACACCCGTAAGCAAAGACCCCCCGCCTGCTCAAGCACCTCTCAATCTCACACTTCTACAACTTATCTACTTTGTTCAACATCGTTAACTTTGCACTCTTCCTTTTCTCAACGGCCTCCAAGAATGATCCATAACTCCATGTCAAATCGTGCGCGCCCCTCTGGAATCCAGTTCTTCCGTCGAACTGCTCACTCAGCCTCCCGTCTGCTGTGGCATGCCACCGAATAACATTCAGGAAACTATCGGCATAGGTGAACATTGAGCGAAGATACTTGTGGAAAATCAAGTCGTCTACCGTGACGATTCCGACTTCAGCCTTGCCATTGGGATGCATTCTATTAAAGAATGGGAGGTTTATGGGGGTGATTTCGAAGCTTTCTTGCTTCACAAAATGTTCAATAGCGGTATAGAGAATTTCTGAGACACTTGATGTGCAAAGGAACCTGCAATTTTGTTTGTTTTTTAGTCTTGGAATGAGCTCATTGGTGACGGAAACAAAATGAATGATGCTTACCATGGGTGTCCTCCAGAGAAACCGACGCCATCGTATATATCCTCAGGATACCTTCCAATCCCAACGCCTCTCAACCTCTCTTCCTCTTTATAATACGGTGGTACCTGACGGTTGATCGAATGTCGTTTCTCCATATCGTTAATCAACATCTGCATACTAACCAGCACTTCATCGCTCCACGCCGGGAAAAGATCGCTCTGGCCACCATGAATTGCACCTAACATCAAACTGCAATCCAGCCCTGTCCTGTGTGGGGTGTTTAGATATGCAAGAAGATGCCCCTTTTCCTTACTCCAGAACTGGTCTTTCAGGAAACCCTTCAGCGTAGATTGCTGGCGATCATACCAGGCCGCGCCTTTCTGATCATTAAGTAGTCTCGCCAGATCACGCCCTTCTACGAGCGCTTTATGTTGAACTAGTGCGGTGAAGAAATGAAGGTCCATGGTTTCTTCCCATAAATCGAAGCCTTGTTCGTTCCATGTGCGCGCAATATACTCGAGATCGGCCTTGATTATGGAGAAATTAGGCTTCGTTGGGTCATACAATTTCGTCAACCATTCCTCGGTCACAAGCTCCGGTTCCGTCTCGTTGAGAGTCTTGATATAACTGGTCAGAGTAAGAATTCTGAGTGCCGGACCATCCCTCTGCGGGCGCGACCATGGCCTATCGAGGTGGTGTTAGCTATTTTCGGGAAGGGTGGGGAAAGAAGAAAAAAGAGAAGGAGAAAGAATAAACACCACCATTCCAAGGAGAGTTAATACTAACCGGGTGAATGGCTCGCCGTTAACCATAAATTTAGGCTCCCCTAGACCGCCAGAACTGTACCCACCACTCGGATTGGCTGTACTTTGGATGTTTTCTTGAATCTCCAAGTATAGCTCCACCGTATCCCTGAGATCCTGGAAATCTGTTTTTGCATACGCATTCACGACTCCCTTCATCGTGATAGCCGCATCACGAACCCACTGGTAAAAGTAGTCCGGATAGGATTTGGACGGAGAAGCGATGACAGTACCCGGCGCTGCGCCTTCCGTATTCTTACCGTAAGGCGCAACATTATCGAAAAGATACTCCCATGCGAATTCAGATTCTTCTGTGATCCATTTGTCGAGGTTGTCATTATGGGGGACTAGAGACGTATGCTCGGAAATCTTTGAGAATCTCTTGGACTCAGGCCCAAGGGGAGTTTGATTGGGGGTGGGTGGTACGGCATACGCAGACACACCGTTGGCCCCCAAGAGGGAGGCGGCAAAAAGATATTCGATAAGAACCATGGTGGTTTGTTTGAAAGGCCGTGGATGGGAATATCAAATCACAAACAAGCTCAACCAGACAGGGGCAACAAGACCAGCGAGGAAAAAAAGAAAGAGAGAGAGCGAACAGCTTGAGGAAGAAAACCCCAGGAAGACTGCTTAAATATGGCTTTGAAAGTTCTATGGAAGGAAATAACTAAATGTGTAGCGTGACCTCAAAGCTGAGTGTGGAGTACGTCGCGCGCCGTGCGGGGCCGAATAGGAAAAAAGGGATCACCAGAACGGAACAATAGAATGGAACTATATAGGATACAGCCAACGGGATATGTCTCAGGGAGCGGAAGAATCCAAGCGGACGTGTCAACTTACACTAAAATCGATGATTTTCACCTCCGGGCCCGCATTTACGCAAAGGTAAAATCAGAAGCAAAAGGAAGAAGAACAGGCATGAATGCCTACGTCAAGCGTCAAATGCGGGGGAATAGCCGGCAACCCCAGGTGCATTTGCCCTCGTGACCCGGTTTTCGGTCTTTATCACGGGGGTGAAAAGCCCTGGAGAAGGTTGTACCCGACGGCCATGTGTGGGCTGCAGATTAATAGCTGAGGACCTCCGAAATCCACGTACGAGGGAAATCGAACCAGACAGGATATATTATACTCGAGTAGGCAAGATAAAACCCGCTGGGGGTCCGTTATTAGTTCTGAGTCTTTGTTGTTTGGGAAAGGCGGGAGAAAGAGAGACAAGTGTGTTCAGACTTACCAGCTGACTGTAATCCATCTGCGGCTCTTGCGGTAGTGTGCTGCAAATAACAGTCAGGTACATTTCTAGATGGTTGGGTTGCCACATGGTGACCTCACAACACTGGGATAAAGGGCCCTTACCCCTCATATGTAGAGTTGAGAGCCGATAGTAACTAAGTGTAGCATGTGAATTCATAACATAAAAGTAAGGGTACAACTTTCGAATTTATCCATATTTTTCCATGTTTCATTCCAACCAGACTACTTAAATCCGCTTTCACACGAATACATTTCAGAAAATACTCCTAAATAAATGTCCTTATTGTGCCCTCAACCTACGCTCAGACAAGAAATGCGCTTCATGATATTTGAAAAACCGACGGTAGAAAAAAAAAGGATTCAACAACGAAGAGAAAAGTACATCGAAAAGCAGGATGAGCGCCCATTAAGAGTCATACTGTGCTGACTAGCTAGGTACAACTAGACTACTGCCCGAGAAACAAAAATAATTGGCAGAGAGAGGGCGGAAATTTATTCCCAAGTCTTAGAAATGTTGAAGCTCCAGTTAAACTCCAAATGGGTGTTATGATCGTCGTCCATGAACTTGCTCAGGGCATCGTAGTGTCCACGGTACAGCATGCCTGATGGGGCTTCCTCGGGAGCAACTAGAATAAGGTTGAATTAGTATTTGTACAATTGTAAAATATATTTGTGTTCTTACAAATCTTCTCATAGCACGGATTTTCTGCAGTATTCGGCCCGTAGCTCCCCTGCGCATTAATCAGCACACCGGTTCAACGAACACCTAGCCCTAACCATTCTCTTCCCATTTTCGAGAACTCACCATCATTTCGTCTGACTTATCGACCTTGATGCCCTTCCTCTTGACAAGTTGAAGGTATCTCAGGCCAGAGATAACTTCGTGCTGAACTCTGAACTTGACTCTCATCTTGTACTCACTCCCTTCCTTGATGGTGAAAGGCTTCTCCTTTAGAGTCGCAACGGCACCAAGAGCACTGAGGTCGATAACGACATCCGGACGCCCAGTAATCAGAAGCGAGAGCTCAAGAATAACAACCTGTGATATCGTTCATCAGTCCTGACGGATGTGGTGGAATAAGGTGTTGATGAGCTACCTTACGCATATCGCCGGGTTCACCGATGGAACCAGCAGAGGAGGCTCCGATACCCAGGGACTGTTTCCAGCGAGCAAGAGATTCATCTTCAGCATCTTTATGATTGTAGAAAACTAATTAGCTTAAAGCTCTCCCAGCAGAGCCTTACATCAACCATGAAAGATGAAAAGCACTACATCAAAGGTAGTGACAATATAAAGAAATCAGCTAACCTAGCTTGTTGTACTCATCGACAGATTTCTTCTCTCCAACCTTGTACCTATAATACAAACCAACTCGTCAGCTTCGTTGGTCAGAGTTTGGGGACGAACCCCGCCCAGTCATGCGGGGAGAAACAATGGGATGCCAAAGTTCAACCAGATAGAACTTACCCTTCGGTGGTGGAGGGTACCAATTCATCATCAGCATGAGAAGCCATTGTATTAACTTATTTGAAGGATTTGATGTTCACAAGACTCGAATGTTGTGTGTGTTGCTAGGGAGGATGGAGGGGAGAAGGAGAGAACACCTGAGTCGTTGGCGGGGTATGAACTTCAAGATTGTGCTGTTCAGGGGGTCAAGGGTGTGGTCAGCTTTCGGAGACGGTCCACAATTTATACAATACACGGGATAGAAAGCGATATGTTCTGCAAATAGCAGGTGGCAGTAGATACATGATCGCTCGGTAGTTAATAATGGACATGATATACTACTAGCAGTGTAGCCGTTATGTATTTCTTTCACTCCTCTCACTTTCATCTCAGGTATTGCATGTAGCGAACGTCCCTCTTTCCCCCCTTTGTCACCTTTCGACCCTGGCAATCTCTCTAGGGTCTTGGACGTGTGTTTACGCCTAAATTGTGGCTAGAGTAAGAGTAAAATGATCCAATTGCGGGAACTTCCCCCACGAGGGTTGATTGTGAATTTGACCACATATGGTGGACGGTTGAAGGAGTGCTAGAGATACCCTTTCCAATCGCTTACTTCTAGTATGTGGAGAATTGTACCTATCACCTATCAGCGCGTGTTGTTGGACACATGTTACTAGTACACGAAGAGAAGTCATAGTCATGCAGCCTTTGGAACTTGTTCAGACTAACGTTTTATTCTTTACTCAGTACCTTCATGTACCTACTCGAGGGATTGATATTGGGTTGTAAAAATATCATGGTATTGGAGAGTTTCTATCCAACCTTCGGGGGGGTATTAAGAAAGCCCTAACCCAATATTACTATCTACAATGCAAAGTAGTATTCATACTGAAATGCTGTGTGGGAACAGTACTCTACTAATGGATCCAACCCCCTGGCATACATACCCACTTGCATCATCCAGCGTTTCCCTGCCAGTTGTTCTGCATTTGATCACAATTATTCTACCGAACCACCGTTATCGATTCCATACTTATCCTCTCTGTACGGGTAGTATTACTTAGTACAGATTATACCCAAACAGAGAGTGCGGGGAAAAGGGAACGTTATTGAATATCTCTCGTGTTTCCCGGTATTCTTAACTCCTACAAGTTCTCGTCACAATTCATCTCTTCCTCATCAATCTCAATCTTCTTCCTCAACCTTCCTGGCTCCTCTTAAAACTGTTGGCCCTGCTAACACATTAATCAAAAAAAAAAAGCTGCCACTTGTTGTTACCCTAGCGACCTCACACGCAACCTAACCCTAACTAACTTCTATTTCCCGCTAAACCTCTATTACTCCACTTATTGAGCCTTACTCACTTACTTACCCTCCCACACGACTCCCCTCTCTCATTTCACCATTCTCACACACATACTTCTTCAGAACCGCCATAAACTATATTTCTTCTTTACAATTCCAGTCAGCTATGCCTGCCGCCTCAGTAAAGATCATGAAGCGCTCTTTGCCTTCTCGACATAACCCCATGCTCGAGGGTTCTAATATCCCTCCATGTACCTCCCCCCAAACTTCCCCTTTGCGCCCCAGCGCGCTCCCGTCATCGCGTCGTCACCACAACGATCAATCATCCACTGCTGCTGACCCCCCATCCACAGACAACGAACTCGTCGAGATGCGTCGCCTCGGCCAAACAAATCTGGGAACCAAATCTCCCAACGACGCGAACCTTTTTAGCTATGTGCACCTACGCGCACCGCTCCCGCAACCCCTGGATGGCTCCGAGATCTTCGGAAACTCCGCACCAGAATCCTATTTTTTGATGCGAAGGAGCCAAGATGGATTTGTGAGCTCTACTGGAATGTCAGTTTTTTTTCTCTTCTGAATTTCGTTTCGGCAATTTTCTCCGTCTATTTCTTGGCCATTTAGGTCGTTTTCCGGTTCTGGTCAATCAAGTACCGCGGAAGTCCGGTGAAAGAGCTGGCGAATAAAACTTTGTCATTCGTTGGAGCTTATATTATTGGAAGCTGACAGACTTGTTTGGTGTGCATTAGGTTCAAGGCTTCATTTCCTTGGGCAAAGAAAAAGGAGGAGGACCTTGAGAGACAGTACGTAAGGGATCACTTTGCGCAGACCTCAAACGAGGAAACTGCTGGAAACCTTTGGGTGCACCCTACTGACGGTAATTGATCATAACTGTACTTGACAATGTGTTTGTTGCTAATTGCCCCAATAGCTTTGACACTGGCCGACGAGTATGTTAAAATGGTCACATCATGATTGTTCGTCACTGACACTCCACTCAATAGCTATGGTATGCGAGTATGGATCGAAGCTTTGCTTGACAACGAAGCAGTTGTGCCCTCTGATCACCGTAAGCGCAACATTACTCCTCCTCCACCATATTTCAAACCCGCCGAATCCGATGCTGGTTCAGTTGCTTCCAGCACTGCGCCAGCTACCCGCAGGCGATCTACCCGGTCTGCTTCCCCTAGTAAACGTCTAGGCACCAGCACACCACGGAAGACAAGATCTTCCAAGGCGGCCGCTGCCAAGGATAGTCCTCTAAAGAAGTCAGTTGCACCGATCACTGAAACCGACGAGGAATCTGTCATTCTCACAACTACCGAGACCACAACTGTCACAACCACTGAGACCGTTCCCGCCCTCACAAACGGCACCAAGGCCAACAGTGCCTTGACAACCCCTGTGAAGAATGACCTGAAAAGCGAGCCGAGAAGTGAAGCGGAAAGTGAAACGACAAGCGAGGCGAAGATCGAGACAAAACGTGAGGCTAAAAGCGAACCAAAAATTCGCGTTGAGGTCGACGAAGAGGTTGAGACGAAAGGCGATGTCGAAGTGCACACAACCCACGTTAAACTCGAGTTGCCAGCAACCGAAGACGGCGAAATTTCATTGCCTGATAATTCTAATGACGTGAAAGACGTGAAAAAAATGATTGCCAAAGCACAGGAAATGGTTGACGAGGCACGCAAACTTGATACCCCTGATGCTCCAAAGACTCCAGGGACTAAGCGTAAAGCCGAGGAGATCGCTACCATTGGGGATAAAGATGAGGATGATGTTGAGGACGATGATGACTTGAAGCATAGTGCCAAAAAGTCCAGATTGGCCATAGAGGAGGAATTGAAGAGGGAAAAGGTCAAGATTAAGGCTCTGATTGGATTGACAGCCGTACTAGCCATTGGGTAAGTTTATACGAATAGCACTCCAGCCGAATGAGCTCAAGTTTTCTAATATTTTGACATAGTGCCCTCTTTCCTTACGTCCTATGAACGGGAACCTAGTTATACTCACCAAAAATAAAGTTTGTTGATATTTTAGGTGTGATTGTCACGCAAAATATCAACAGACTTTATTTTCGGGCGAGTAGATGAAGGGATTTGCCAAGTTTTGAGTAGTACGATAATCGCCGGGAATGTTTGATTTTGGTAGAATGGTTGGGGGGCGGGTAGTGGTAAGAGTGTCCTTGTTTCTACAAAATTGTCACGGCCTCATGTTTGGTTCTATACTTGTTTTTTGTTTTTTTGTCTCATTTGCGGGTTTACTGTTGATTTTTCGGTTCATCTAAGTCTACATTCTTACGTTCATGCGTTTTTGCTTCTATGAATTCCATCTACCCCACTACTGATGCTCAAAAAATTCCGGTTCCATTTCTCTTGCCAAGCCACGATTGAGAAAGCGTGACGAGGCAAGAGATAAGGAATCTACATCAAGTACATTAGTAAGGCCTATAGAGAGAGAGGTTAGGTCCCCAGGGGTCCCTTTTATGAACCGAATTTTATTCATTTATTTTCTCAATTTTTTTATTTTTATTTTTGGGGTGGTTACTACACGTTTTGTTTGTGCTTGTTTTCGTTTTGTTCCCTTTCCGTCAGTTCTATCGATCAAAACTATCTGCCTTGTATGTAACGTTATTATTTCCGGCTTATAATCCTAAATGTCTCCTTCCGCACTGAATTTCCAATCCGTTTTGATGATTTCCTCATTTATGACAAATGTCCCGACCATTTATATGGTGGAGTAGTATTAACAATCTTTTAATGCCATGCACCATGCGTGGAAAATAAAATTCGCCGATATACCTGAATCACATTAGAACTAGTACGTCCTACGGTTTTTGTAAAAGTTGCAGATTAATAATCATATAGTGAAAGTTTACAGTAGTGAATGGCCTCATAAACCTGTTCGGAAAATGACACTTCTTTGGTAAACTATATTATAATAGCCCTCCCTCGTTTCTATTGATCAATTGATGTGGCTTCCTGGGGAACATTGAAGTTCCAACTCGGCGCGCCTCCTAGCCACACCCAGTATTAAATAATTAATACTATAATTGAGTAGAAATATGTGGCCTTAATGTACAATTACCCAACTAACCTACGACCTTAACCTCAGTAGTACCCGGATGCTTCTCAAATATCCCAACCTTCCACCCATAACACTGTTCTAGCCTTGTCCAAGTAAATACACACTCCAAGCTCTGCATCGTCGTCTCTGGGTGTGGTCTCTTTACGACCATTGCTTCATCCCATTTGGTAGCTGGAATTAATCTAACCAAGTTCCCTCCTTTATGTTCCATGGTGAATCCTAGATTCGTCATGAGGTGCACGAAGTCTTTCCACGGCACCGGAGTACCGTTGGATAAATGCATTATTGAATTATACATGCGCTTAGTTACTGATATTTTCTTACTTGAATCTGGTTTTGCGCCCGGGGTTGTGCGTTTGGCATCCTAGATAATGTTGCCAGTCACAGTGTCAATGATCGAGTTGCAGCAATTTGGAGATGCATGTTTACTAACCCCTCCCTCTCCCTGATTATTAGAAGTTTCTATCATTTTTGAAAAATTTCCCCCATTCGTAAGCACAGGGCTCGGCTGATATTCCGTTAGCAGCTAGATCCCTACTAGTAATATTATAATAACAAAAGATATGTGAAACCAACCTCCCCATACCCGCCCACATCGTCCCATTCCGCGATCCCAACGAGTTCCGGTAATTTCCCCTCTGCCTTCTTATATTCTTCGATATATTCTAGTTTCTCTGACATCCATACATTACCCTGCCAATGCCATTTCCCTTTCTTTCTCCTGTCTACAATACGTCCCTGCTTGTTTATGATCCACGCTTCAATAGTCTTCCCGCTGAGCTTCTCAAACTCCGTACTGACGCGGCCCCAGAACATTTTAAGCCAGTCGCCGGCCGTCGATTCCTGTAGCACTGATACGTCGCTGAAAGAACCAAACTCAACCTTTTCCCAGAGCTGTGAGAGCTCTTGTAGTGTCTCTCCGAACTTGGCACTAGCTTGATTATCCTCTATCGTGGAGGGACCCACCCGACATGCGGCTTCGCGAATCTCACAGATAGCAGCAACACTGGAGAGAATACTCATTACATATGGGTCGACGTGGGGCTTTAGCAGCGGGGTGTCCGCGAGAAGATGCTCGATCTCTACTGCAATTCTAGGAAGCGTGAGCCAGTTGGAGTAGGTAGAGGGAATAGTGGGATCGAGACACATTAGAAGGTGATTAACTGCATTCTCGGTCTTGCTTTCTCTGGCGGTGAGAAAGTGGAGTTTAAGTGCGGACCTTGCAAGGCCTTCGAGGAAGGCGAGAAGGGGGTTGATAGTGTTGGCAAGCTCAGCGTTGGACTCGTTATCTATCCCAGCATCTTCAAGGGCAAGGCAAACCTGACCCCAGATGAGAGATAAAGCATTAGCATTGTATAGGACCTGATGGAGAGCGTCGTGGATAGCGAGAGGCGACCTCGCCGGTGTGTTCTCTAGCTTATGGGTGAGCTGATCTGTAACATGAGCGATAAAATAGTTTGAGTTTGTGTGCAGGAGACCCAAATGGTCTTCAGCGGCGCGGAGGTGAGAGACGGCAAGGTAGTACGCATCTGCAATACTGGTGATAGGTGGGAGCGTGTAGGGTCTAAGGAGTATGGAGGCAGAGTACGAATCAAAGCCCCCCTCAACGAGAGAGTAGTTAGGTACATTTTCGAGGAGCTTCGATGTTGTACTAGTGGCCGAAGTTGTAGTGATGGGAGGGTCTTTCTTGGGATCGATAGGGGAAATTATATCTTTGACAAGTGCAAGACAGAATTCTAAAATAGTCTTCTGCCATCTCATCAGATACACCCCAGCAACCTCCACAGGGGCAATTAACATCTTCCTGACACCCTCAGTATACTCCCTCGACTCTTCGGCATATGTCTTCAAAACCCCATATTCGGTCTCGTCACCCATGATAACGACAACCTCCACCTTTCCCTTCTTCCGACGGTTCCCGTTAACCACACCAAATAATTCCAATATAGGCCTTACAATGCATCTATAATCCTCTCTCCCAAATGCACTCGGATGACACACTGCGCGTGAACAAACAAAGTTCAATATTGTCGCGGGATTGGTGGCTAGCTGCTCTAAGTTGATACAAGCATACAAAAGCTCGTCCATTATCAACTCTGAGATCGGCCTATCCTTGAGTATTGCATCACTCAGTCTCGGACGGCGCTCAAGAATTGTTTTGTTTACAGAGCCATTCGCGGCGGCCCATGCACGAGAAAGGCATTTGGTGCGAAGGGCTATCGTTTTCCTGCGCCAGCGGGCGGCTATAGTAGTGGCATGAGCTGCAGTCAGGGTAGAGAAAATAGTGTATGGTGAACAAACGTCTGTGGTGGGGTCGACGTGGAAGATCGTTCTCACTTTTGAAGGCATTCTTGACATTGGCGGAGTGGTGGTTATCGTGAACTGACAATGACGAGTACTACGACAGATGTGGGACAAGATTAATACATAGCTAAAGGTGTTGTAGGTACCACAAGTACCTACCGCGTACTGATCTAAACTCGCGGGGTTGCTGGACCAATGATCGAACGGACATGTATGTATTGTACATGTGATTAGCTGAGAACCTAAGACCGGTAGTAATGTAGCTGCCAATATGGCGGGGTGCCTGAAATCCTGTTTAAGCGACTAGCATGTGGTCGTAAAAAACCTACATGTATGTATTTACGACCATAACACCTTTTCGTTTTCACAGGTCGAATAGGTAACTACATGTACATATATCTACATAATTCAGTCACCTACATAATATTTCCCAGGCATCCCGACACTCCAATACCTCATACTCATCGTCATCTCCATCCAAGCTATTCAAAATAGCTTCGAACTCCTAAAACATCTCCAATACCAACATTTGACATATAAATATCCATTTTTTTAACATAAATACTCATCCTCACGACTTAGAATGACAACCCTAACACCGCCACCATTACCACCGTATACAGTCGAGTTCATTGAATCGGCCACATCCAGAACGCTCCTCGAGATTTTCTCTGGGTTTTCTGTCAATCTCGACAAGAGGATTTTCTCCTCCAATTCCCCATCCAACATTGCAGAACTCGAACGCCGCCTAAAACTCCTCCTCTCAGACTCCCAGCGCCTCTCCACCGTACTTCCGCGATCTGAGACCAAATATGAGTCCCTCCCCCCCTGGACGGGCAGAAGCGGTCCAGATCACCGTAGATCCCCACCAGGAAGCGGCCCAATGTGTGAAGCGTTTTCAAAGAATTTCAACGTTGGGCAGATGGAGAAGATAGCGGGTAGGACTGGGAGAGTTAGTAAGCTGCACGACTACAAATTCTATCATGATGCCTGTCAAATGCTCATGGCTATGGCGAGCTGCTTTGATAGCGGCCGCTATAAAATAACCTTGCAGGATCCCCAGATGGACTCTGGTATCGCGCTTCGTATTGTCGACGCCAGGTGCACGGCCCTTGATCCTAAACTCCCGATTCTCTTTGTTCTCTTTGCCCATGAGACTACAGAACATGCAGACCCAAACTCTCCATCACTCAAGTGGTTGTCGCACACCATAAAGAATGACGGTGCAATATCGCAGATCAGAGAGGGCACAGTGGCGAATAATCATCTGCTGCTTCGCCAGCTAGTCTATAACTCGCACCGGCTTCCACCAGGCTGCGAGGAGATGTTTGATCGGGCACGGGACAAGGTGTATGAAAAGGACTTTGTGGCGTCGTTTATACTTCCCATGGATCCCCTCTCGCACAAGGCCGTCGAGCGCCTTAGCAGGAGCCAGAAATGCGCACGCGTATCGTGCGTCAAACCTGCGTTTTTGCTATGCGGTGGGTGTGGTATCGTCTACTACTGCTCACAGGGCTGCCAGAAGTCACACAGGGACACACATCAGGGGCTCTGTACCTGCATTTCCACCTCCCCGCCCCCGCGTTCGACAAACTTCATTGTGTTCCCTCTTATAGACTCTAAGAGCGATATGGGGATAGCAAATGAATACTTATCGCAACGGGACCTTGTGCGTTTAGAAGAAGGAGATGGCCAGAAAGCATACCTCATGTTAAACCCATTTCCCGACCGGGGGTTCCTGACAAGCGTAGCGAGGAGGGGGCCCAAGGAGAGGTTTATTGTGAGGATGCAGGAATCGATGGGGGGAGCGGTGCTGCTTGTTTATGACGCCGAGAAGACGTTCAAGGTACATGTGAGGGTGGTGCCAGAACTGTGTGAGCTGGTGGCGTCAAATAAAAATTGGAAGGGACAAAGATGCTACCTATATGCGAGGCATCTGGACGGTGATAAAGGAAAGAAATATTTGGAGGTATTGCTTGATGTAATGCCAAACCAAGGACTGCTTTGGTAAAAGCTTAAGGGATAGAGCTAGAGGCGTGTCAAGATATTGTTTTGCAGTACTAGGAGAATTTTGTTTATTAGATCCGGATCAGTGTTAGTTGTGGTGTAGAGATGAGTTATAAACCTACGAAATAAACTGATTATACGAATTCAACCAAATAGAGAACGCGTCGCATCAGCCATATGGTTTTGGATTGTCTAGCTGTAGGGTGTATCATGTTGATACTGCGAGTGATAATTTGTGATGCCGCCCGCCAGTATGGGGGTGTTTCCTAGGCTCCTACCCAGCCCTTCTACCGGAAAGGGCGGACTGGCAGGAGAGCTGTCCCTCCGGTTGGTGGACCTTTTTTACCTGGATATTGAGCTAGCGGGTGTCGGTATACCCCCCCATAATGTGCCGGAAGATTAATGCACCAGGCATTAAGACGAGCAGGAAGGTACTTGTGGGGTATAGTTACGAGACTGAGTAAGTGTCGGACCTAGCCGAACGACATCGGTCCCACTTATATATCGTTCCCGGGAGGGTAAATGATCACTTTTCCAGTTTTTCGGATCCACCCAAACCCACCTTAATCTAGCTTAAGTTCTCTGAGTCACGGGAAAATCCCAGCTTAATAATCATATACTGGAGTGGCCGAACCTGCCTGATAATATTCATTATACTAACCAACGGCAATGGTAAGTAGATCAACTAACAAACTAACTGGCTGGCTGTAGCGGCGGATGGTGTTCTTCTAGATTCTCATGAGTACTTGAACTAGAAAGTAGGCTCGAATGAATATATGTACTCTGGGAATCCGGGATTATTCTGCTTGCTAGCTGACATAGCTGGCGACTCTGCTCGCTAATGTAAGGGTACCGAAAAAGATTGATCTGGACAGCTTTATATTACTACTTTAGTGACGGTGTGGTTTTAATTTAGTCTCGGTATAGTTTCCAAGCACTAGCTAGTTGCAATCACAAAAGCGGGGCCGGCCATGTTAATTAAAGCTAAATATGCATTAAGTTTATGCGGAGGGCTGGACAGACCGCAAAGATATGCGAGTATCCATTGAGTTAGAGTCTATTTACATAGACTTGATACGTGTATCAGATATTCATCAAGGCATTATCGAATTTGGGTACTTGGTAAGCCAAAATACATAGTGTGAATACCGTGAGGTTGTATCAATTTGAAGAAAATTAATTTCCATCTTTGTTATCATAGCTAGCTTCTCTTTAGTGACTACATGTATGCGTCATCTATGTGCCGAGTTTGGTTTAATCGATATCAGGGTTAGTAGGGCAGGCGGAATGAAGAAAACGAAAATTAATGGGGTGTCCCTATTCAAAGGCTTCTCCTAAAAGAATTATCAACACTCTACATAGCGTATAAGAAAAAGAGTTGTTTCCCTGGGGTCACCTCTGAGGGATGTTGTTAATAGCACATACCAGAATGAAACCGACGAACTTGGAAAACCTATTCATAACTGTTCTTGCAAGAGGTAAGCCGTAATCCATGAATCCAGCTGGGAACGCTCTTCGGTATATTCTAAACAGCTTAACAGGAGACAAAGAGGGAATTCTCCTAAGAGTTCACATCATAAGCTTTCAATCTATACGGAATCGTCTATGGGGATAGAAAAGGGAGCTGAAACCTTCTTTTAAGAGGTTCTCCTTCTGAAAACCCAATCGACGATTGGCCTTAGATATGCGGTCAGCAGCATCCAGAGACGAAGACCTCACCAGTTGCCGCCGCGCCTCGCGGAATTCATGATCTTCGGTGACTAGATCCATCCATGCATATATTTGTTTTTCAATAAGACTCTCTATGGGAGTATCTCCAATGTTTTCTGAACCCGGCTCCCAAAGTAAGGTATTTACTTCTCCTTCAGACTCGTCGGAATCAACGGTATGTACCCAGGTTATCAAAAAAGCCAATCGAACGTCAATATCCAATGTATCCTGTAGCCTCGAATTGGTGTAAAGGTGGTTAACGTGCTCTCTCACCACTGAACAGTCGAAAGGTGACATGTATCCTAAATTATCCAAGCACATTAAAAGAGTCCTGATACACTCATGAATACCCCATCCTATTAAATCTATAGGAGGGCTTGACATCCGAAAAAATGCAAGATATGTACTTGCCAGTACTCCAGCCTCACGGAACATTTGTGCCTTACAGTACAGTTGACATAATGTTTTGAAGCTTTGAGAAAAAATCTTATGCCCTCTATGTAGCTCTGTGAGAGACCAGGTATGGAAACTTCTTCCGGCAAGAAAGTTATGCGCCGCGATAGATTCCGCTTGTTCAAAGTAAGTAGAATCTGGATATCTTTTGCTATATTTGGCGAGCTTGTAGAGCAAAGGTGCGATACCATTTACGGTAGCCTCATCCATCACAGTGTGGTAAGGTTCGTAGCATTGATAGATGTTTTTATCCCGAGCACGGAATAACTCCTTCATTACATCGTAATAGCCACCGAAACCTACAGGAGTAAACCGACGTTGATATCCTGGGCTAGAAGACGCCGTCGAAAAAAAAGAAACCAAGAATTCCAGTGAAAGTACAATAGGAAATCTGTGTATTATGAAAGGTAGGCATTTCCTCTGGTACTCGTGTATCTCCTCGTCGAGGCTGCAGAGAGCCCTGTAACAATGAAAGTTCTGTGATGTAGCCACAGCACTGAGATATTCGCTGTCACTTGTGTATAAAGTGAGCGATATCATAGTAAACATTTTGAGGCTATGCGCTTCTTCGAGGATTTCTCCTTTAAGTCGATTTGCCTGAATTTTTTCTTCCTTGTTTTCACCAAGATGACTTGGATGTACCCCACTATTGTAGGCCCACCTAAGCCCGTTGGATACAGAGTCGACAAAACAAAATACCATGTCGAGCAATGTGTCAATAGCATTTGGAGGTAAGAGCGACGCCATAACAGCCCCGCGATTTTCGTTAAGGTTTTCCAAAATACTAAGGATATCTGCTGCAGATGCAACCCAGTTCCAGTATTGTCTACGCAAACCCATATCTCGCGAGAGCTCATCGAACAAGCAGTATCCATGGAGTTTTGAAATGGACTTTAGTAGCGGGTCTAATAGATAGTCACCGAAGAGCCTTTCTAAGAGGGATTCGGTGGTTGATAGTGTTCCTTTTATATATTCTTTCGTAATTATCCCATCATCCATACGAAACTGGGACCAGGAAATGAAGTAGAGAATGCAAGATAGTCTTGCCGATGGCCTGAGAGGCAAAATATTGTTTTTCTCCAAAATTAAAACATTAGGAATTTTGGAAAGATTTTCTAATACATGCCGCTGGAGCGATCTTATCTCGCTGCTGAGATTGATGGGGCCAATAAAACGGCACTGCACAATTATCCGGGATGGCGTATATCTATCCAGTAAGAGGACGGACATTATAGTCCAATAAGCATCTTCGAGGGGGTTCTCTTGGATGCGATGTTGAAGGTAGTGTCGAAAAGGTCGTTGTAGGCGTATTGTAATTTTATCGACCCTATCGTTGTATGCACCGCCGATATGGATGAATGGGAGATGTGTAAGGGTTTTGAAAACGGCAGGCCACTCTGAGTTGCGTCGAACAAATTCCAGTTCCTCGTGGTCATTTCCAAGGGGTGTATTCGAACCCAAATTGCAGAATTCGGGAGCTTCACCAAGCAATATATCTAATCCCAATCCTTCGTCCGCGAAAACCGCTAGAAGGTTCACAATTTTGACAATTCTAATGGACTTTTGGTCGCCCCTCTGCTTAAGCTTTGCAAAGATTCTGAGCCATGCAGGTAACGACATTCGAGCCGGCTGCAGCTGATATAATGTCTCATCATTAGTTTATGTGTTTATAGTACTAGTACTACATAGACCGGCGACTGCGCAAGTCCCAAACGTAAATAGAACTTGAAACATCGAGTACATACCATTTTGTGTGATAATGAGTGCATGGTCGGTATATATCCCTTCAATCAATCCTGGCAATAAAATAAGGTCTCTGGGTTCACGACGTTTGAATTCTCCGAAAGGTTAATACGCCGGTAGCTACGTAACATGCGTGCACGTTAATGAGTAGCTCTGTACTATCCAGACTGCAGCTGGTCGATTAAAGCTCGGGCGGGACTGGACGCGGTTCTAATGCAGGAATATTATGATGAATCTCTTAGATATTTTGAGGATAATACATGTAGCTGTAGAGTACCCCAAGTACACGTAGGAATAAATGACAGTTTGACACACTGCAAAATCAATCTTGGCCCGGCTAACATGTTACATGTAGTTTCTCAAGTGAAACGGTGACGTGGTAAATACAAATATAAATGTGGCATATATACATGTACTTGTAAGGATGGCCAGTCCCACATTTACATGGTCTGGTCGGTATCTCAAGTTACATGCAGTCCGTATAGTAAGTTAAGATTGGAAAAAAGCAGTTTTGCCTGTTCTCCAAAGTCTAGGCGCATAATTATATGTATTTACATGTATTCTGGTACTTCTTACATGCTGGTACATGCAGCTAGCATTCATATTTATACGGAACGGGAACCAAACTCAGGTGTGGTTTTTAGTACGCATACGTATACTACACATTACTAGGCGTAATATTATATAGTACAGAACAGTGATACATGAGTATTCAGCTACTATAACAGGGGGAACTGGCATTGGGGATAGGTTTTTATGCCATAGGCTATGCCTGCATGCAGTTATTGTACCTAGAATCAATTCATATGATATAAAATAAAAATAATAAAAAAAAAGATACATGAGTATTCGGGCTATAGCCTAGTACACATTTTCTGAGAACAACTGAACAAAATGCTCTACCATCCATGATACAATGATTATTTTTGGAATTTAGTACTGCCAGATGATTCTCCTAAGTATCAAGTTATCTTTTACTGATTGGTATAAGTTATATCTTAAAATGGTGGGCTCTGGGGCTATTTGAAAATGGCTGGTTTTGGCGTTTTTTGGTGTGGTTTTGCTTCGCAACGATGATTTACGTCCAAGAACTATACATACTATCTCTACTGTATCCGGCCACATGTAGCTTTGGTCCGGTATCAGCTCAGACGCGGAATTAAATCTGCACTTCCGGAGGTTTCAAGACTGACAGGATAGCAGCGCTTTTGTAGTAGTACATACATATACACGGATCGTCAATTGTTACTATTCCACTAGCGTAAAGTGCTATAGTAATTATAACCTGGGGCCGGGCGTACATGGCCTCGAAATAAATACTATAAAAAAGGGTTACATACATGTATGCACATGAGCTATAGTGATTCCAAAGGCTAGGACAGCAACGTAGTAGTACACTCACACTTTTTCAGTAACATAGGGCTCTTCCCTTCCAGTATAGACCTAACCCTATCTATAAAATATCAAGCTTTTTTTGTTTCTTACTATAACTAGCATCTCAAACTATGGTACAGAGGTTTTTTGCTGACCTAACATCGTTCCATGGTTAAGGGACAGAAATCGCCAGCTGCTGCAGCTGACATCTCGCGTACCAACCGCAGTACCCGCTATAGTGCTCTATATGATATATGAAGTACATACTCGTAATTTTTTTGCGTTTCCGGACTGGACTGGGTCCGCATACCACCAAAATATGGTTGTCAAGCACGATTTACGCCCATATGCGGACCTAGTCCAGTCCGGAAACGCAAAAAAATTACGAGTATACCGCATGTAATTAAATCAAATTGATGACGGGTATAATACGTTAATTGATTGTGTACTTTATGATAGCTCTTGAAACAGGTACATGTACAATACAAGTACTGTAGAGTAGTATTGTAGTTAGTTGTAACACAGCACGCGTTGTAATTACATACAAGGAAACAGGCACATGTATCCCTTCCACTTTTTGATTTGATTATAATATATCAGCTTCCTTTAGCCAGTTTTCTTGTACAAAGCACCTGCGCCTGCTTGATGGCTTGGAAATACTAGAGTATCGGCCAATACGACATTCTCACGCCGTCCAGCAGCAAATACCACAATCTCTGCGATATCTTCTGGTGTGAGTGGCTCACAACCACTATAATTTCTTGGTCAGCCAAGCAAAGTACCAGGCATGGCAAAGGTAATTAACATACGCATAAACCGCATCAGCTTTTGATTTGTCACCTCTAAATCTCACGACCGAAAATTCCTGTGGCTATGTTAGCGAATTAACAGATACGGAGGGCAGGATTGGAGATCTACTGTCTCAACTTGACCCGGGTCGATCTCGATCACTCTGATCCTGGTAGCAATCAATTCCTTCCTAAGGCTGTCCGTAAAACTACGGACGGCAGCTTTGCTCGCGCAGTAGATGCTCCCACCTGCGTAGGGTTCTCTACCAGCGATAGATCCAACATTGATTACATCGCCGCGTCCACCACGAGTATGAAAAATGGGAAGAATCTTTTGGGTCATCTGGTTGATGTGTCAATAGGTATTCAGCTCGGGATGAAAGAGAACCTGCTACATTAATGAGACCGGTCACATTGGTTGACAGCATGATATTAATATCATCTTCAGCGATTTCCCCAACCTTGTCGACGCCTTTCACGAGCCCACTGAAGATTAAGTTAGCCCATATACATTCCTCTCTAAAGGGAAATCATACGCATTATTCACCAAAATGTCAATATCCCTCCACTCCTCTGGGAGCCTATCTACAAATCCGTTCACGTCACTCGAGGAAGAAATATCCAGCTTGAAAGGTAGGACTTTTGTCTTCCCTCCGCTTTCACTCTCGAGGAGCTTGGCAAGTTCCTTTAGGTTTTCTTCACGTCGAGCAGCCAAAATAAGTTTTATATCTGGAGAAGTACGAGAAAACTCGATAGCGACTGATCGACCGATCCCGGATGATGCACCAGTAACCAATATCGTTTTACCGGCCAGGCGGGCAGACATCGCGGTATGGGACATTTTGGCGATGAACTTGCTGGAGATCGCGAATGGGAACTGAACAGATGGGGAACGAATAGAGCGAAGGAAACAGTGAGGGAGATAAAACATACCCAGACGGAGGAGGAGGGGATGTAGTAATTATGTATGTACCGGCAATCTATGAATATTAATCCAAGTTTCGATACTACTAATTTGCAACTGTGTTGTGCCCGAAGCCACGGTAGATCTAGTTGGAGAATGGCTAATGTGGTTACCGAGGTAGAGTAGTAAATTACCCAGAAGCCGATGTCCTGATTACTATGGCTTGCAGTATAGATGACACAGAATTATTGGCGAAGGTTCCATAGCTATAGAACCCGCATAGAAAGTGAAAGAAGGGTGAGGGGTTAAGATCTGTTTCCCCTCCATGTTTGTAGAGTATGTACTTGCTTACCAGCATATGAACCAGAAAATGCGAGTTCGAGAGTCAAGGATTATTTGTATGGAGTGGCGCGGATCTGCCGTACAAAATAGACATTTGCATTTTCTGGTTCATATGCTTGTAAGCAAGTAGATAGGGCAACCTCGTAGTGCATCTACCCCACTTCCGCATGTTTATTCTACTGGCTGTCCCATCTCTTCTCACAAATGACGTGCTAAATACCACAACCAAGAAAGTGAGATGTGGGCAGCTAGGTACCGTGAGTGAGGGGCTCGGGGAAAAATCCATTTTTGAACACCCGGCTGATTGATCAGGGGTAACTGGGGCACGGGAGCTCCCGGAGTTAGGGCTGACAAACTTGATCTTGCCCTGCCTTGTTCCTAAACTTGGCTGGTTGAATAACAACCTCAAAGCCCCCCATCTCCCCTCGTTCATCTTCATCTCCTTTGATCGTGAAGGAACTCGAAAGCCCCACTAAACCTAACAATATCGATGGCCTGCACAGCACAAAACTCTACCAAGAATACTCCCACACACAGCAGCAGCAGCAGGAAGAACCAGAACAAAATCACTAAAAAATATAAGATCATGGCTGGGGCCCTTTCTCTCCAGATTTAAGGGGCTTTTGATTTCCCATCATTAGTCTCTTTATTTTTACCTCCCACAATGGCGGATTACCACTCTACAGCAGTTTTCTATCAAGGCGGATTTTTAACTCAGGATTTTTTGTACCTGGGAGGCTCCCAAGAGAGAGAGCAATTGTTACCGATTGACTAGCTTTCACGAACCCTTTGGTTGCACAGCTTGAAACAAACATTTTTTCAACATACCCATTCTATCAACTGTGACCTCTCAAAATTCTTTTATCCAACATCTAGCTACGCTCCTATTCCCATCCTCTTCCCCCTCTTCACCGCTCCCTCCCTGCATACAGCACAACAGCCATAGTTTCCCATCTTGTTTCTTCAGCGGAGATTCGTCTCTTGGCATTATCGAAACCGCTAGGCCGCTTGCCTGCATCATTGCATTCACCACGCACCACCATGATAGACATCGAACTCTCCTCTTTGCCTGAGGCTATTCCAACCCAAAATATCCCATATAGCCAAGGATATTTTCGGCGATTCAAACAGGGCGCTGCCTCTCTCGTTGGAGAAATGGGGCGCTTTATCCCCTCATACCTCCGCGAAAATGGGTCGGAGTCTTCTCTTTCTCCAGTTATCATCAGTCCATGGGAGCGGTTGATAGATTATTCTTCCGTCGGTTACTACTACACTGCTGTTTCCACCTCTATGCCCACCACTAAAGGGCTCCTATCATACGAAGGGGCATTTATCAGCAATCTATCTGTATGTTCTCTACATCGTAAAAGAAATAGTAAAAGAAAAGAGGAGAAAAAAAATACTAACCTGGCCCCTTCAAGGAATTTATACCTAGCCTTAACAAATACTGGCCTACACAGGTCCTTATTTGTGAGTATTATTCCCGAATATATATCAATCTTCGTGGCAGGCTGGTTTGTACCCTTTCTAGTTAATGTGAGAATCTCCAAATTGACCCATGATTTATACAGCCATCGTTTCTTATCTCAGTTCCGGCAACTGTATGTCCGATCCCTCACCATCCGTGTCCTGCAGTGACACCGCTACCCAGTATACCCACTATCGTGGTAACAGACGTTGACGGTTCTCGAGCCGGTTGCTACAACGCTATGCACGAGACCCAAAGGATACTAGGGGAAGGAAACCCATTTTTATGGAGGGAATGGAAGGGGAAGTTTTCGCCAGTTCGTGTACCTGAAAACGTGTTCTATGATGGTGCTCCGCCCATGTCTGAGGATGAAGAGGATGAAGCAAGAGTGGGAGCGAAATGTTCGCAGCAGGGAACAAATTACCAATCGGAGGAAAGCAGTCAAGGCAACGTTCCTAGGGAGTTGGAGTGGTGGGAAAAAGAGGGTGAGTCTGAAGACGAAGTTGAGGAAAGCGACTCTGATTTTGACGAGGAAGATTCCGAAGAAGAATCCGAAGAGGAAGACTCTGAAGATGATGGAGATGATGAATACGAGGACGACTCGGACGATGACTCGGATGTAGACTCCGACGCGGAGGAGGATCTAGATGAAGCATCTGCCGATCATGTGCGCTCAATCACAAGCAGCGTTTCGGCCGTCAAAACCACTGTTCCGTTCTTATGCGAGCCAAATGCACAACACCCTATTCCCATTCAATCACAAACTACCACCCCTGGTTCATGTCAATTACCCCAAGGTCTGCAAGAGGCAAATGACTTAGGAATCTCTTTATCCTCTTCCTCGTCATCTACTTCGTGTTTTTCTCTTGATGATTCTGACCTTGAATCTTCCAATTCCTCGACGACGGTTTCGTCCGTACCAACCCCAATCACCCCAACATCTCCGTCTATTACTACTATCGATTCTTCCGATCTTCAAAAACAGCAGCAAAGAGATTGCAATGAGCTACCCGAAACCTCGTGGCTCCTGATGAACTCACTCGATACGGCGTTGGGAGCTGCTCAGGAAGCTGAAATGGAAATGGAATTTCAAATTTCGCTACAACAAGGAGTAAGAGCCGGGGGGTGCATTTGAGTATTGAGGGGCTCAACCTTGCTGGAAGCAACCATCAAGATTATGAAAGCAATGCCTAAACTTGATGAGTTCCGAAGGAATGACTCATACGATGAAATTTCTGATGAGAAATCACCGTATCTGTATTCCGTAGCTCGAAATGAATGGTGATGGAGTAAATGATTCGGTACGGTTAAACTGGGTATGGAGTTGTTTGAATTTATGTTTTCTTTACAGGGTTTTAGTTTTTTTCTTTCCTTTTTTCAAACAAAAAAGGGAAAAGGAAAGAACATGGGGTTACCTTTCCTGATGGCTGTTCTTTCTTGTTAGCTAATGCTTGCACGCTTTTTTGCTCATAGCTTTCTGGTTCCACCTCGGAAGATGTACTCTAGAAAAGTGTTTTGAACCATAGTTAGAAATTCAAATCCCATTCAATAACGGATATGACTGTTCGAGCCCCTCTCCCCACATCTCTGTCGCTACTGTCTTGATAAAAGAGCCTCGAGGACCGTCGAGTGGCTCTTTGTTCAATGGCCGCTGCCTCCGCCGCAAATTTGTATATGGTGTCTATCTGTATATGGTGTCTGTCTATGGTGTATCTGAGCATAGGAATACTACGGACTCGTTCGGTGCCACAAGGATCTGGTAAGCTAAAAGAGCAAGTATCCGCATGACACCCGAATTTAAGATGAGAGGTTCTTTGAATGTAATTCCCATTGTATGAATAGGTCGTATGTAGCTACTGATGACATGCACTCGGTACGTATACTGTTATGAGTCATACGAGAAAAGGCCCAATGAGACTGAAGCCTCTGTTATCCATGGAATCTAGAACTACCCAACTCCAGGGTATCTTATCCAATGTGCTGTTTTTGTTCGTGGCTAGCTGTAGACTTCTATAGCCTTCTCAGTTATGATCAATATTAATTTTATAAAACCGTACTGAAGCGGAGCATCATATTAGATGTAGAGTAGGAGGAGTAATAGTTGATCTAAATGTACATGTAGTTACTAGGTTGGTTGCATGGCTTATATTCGAACTTATTAAAAACGTTGTCTACAGGTGACCAAAGCTCTCAACACGCCATCAATCAGGCTCCTATTCTAAAACCCTACAGAGTTTCAAATTAGATCAGCCCTAGATTTTAAAAACCCAGAGATTATGTATGCAATACAGTGCATCTTACCCACGGTCAAATTATCAATCAATAAATCAAATCAATCACCTTCTCGATGCAATTAATGAGTTAAAACAACAAAAAAAAAAAACCTCTCTCAATATGAGAAATCATATCGAGTGATACTCCATGATTCATTTAGCAAACAGGATATAGGGGGCTTTTTTTTTTTGTTTAATTCATTAATTGCATAGGATATAGGGGGCTCCTGATATATTTACAATAGAATTTGCACAATTATCTGTGTTAGAAGCTGTGTTGATAGAAGGAATCATACATACATGTAGGTAATATATATTTGCGCTTTGCGAACAGTCTCTAGGTTAATCCCCCGGTAGTTAACCTGATTGGTGTAGATTCTCCCATCAGCCAATCAGATAATCAGGATTTTGAACTGGAGTCTTTTCATAAAGGTTAATTATTTCAAAGTAAAGTTTCAAGTTTTGGTTCAATAAGGGTAAAAAAGGCCGTTATAGGTTAACGATCGTTATGAGTACATGTATGTACATATGACTGATACTGAAACTGGTACCGGTTGGATTGGGATTTGAAGGCGCATATGTACTCTATGTTGTAAGTAACAAGGTACGTGTATGTACAGCTGTAGTCTAAGGTAGACCCACCTTAACATCGAAACCTTGATACTACATGTACATACATGTACCGTTATTCGTTGTTGAAGCGTTGTGCTACAATTATCGGTTAGTTACATGTATGTATCTATGAGCAATATTATCATTGGAGGCGCTGGCCGCCTAAGCAGTAAGAGGGTCCATGGCAGAATAATTATTTAAATTCTTGAGTCGTGTAGGTACTCGGGGCAGGTAAGAAGAACGTACCTGAAAATTAACGACCTCTGATTCGCAGCTGGCGAAAAGCTACACCAAATTGAGCCCCTACTTGCAGCTTGCATTTTTAGGTTCTTCTTGCCTGCCCCGAGTACAGTTTGCTAGTTTTGTGTGGTGAGCCACCTGAGCCACGGTCCTCAAAACAGCCGAGGCTGGGCAAGAAATGCTCTGATGCATGACGATCAGAGGTAGGGATCAATGTGGCGTAACCTCAACTCAACTCAACTCAACCCCACTTCGGTGAGTATCTCAATAGCACCCGATTTTGTTTCGAAAAAGGTTCGTTATATGTACATGATACTTTCCTTTATTCTTCCTTCATGAGACCCATCTCACAGAGGCCCACACTAACTCGTGAGTAACAGGATTTAGATAAGATGGCCCAAGAAACAATCACAACCATCTCTCCGATAACCGGCAAACCAATGCTTACTCGGCAGGGCTTATCAATCTCAGAAATTCCATCCCTTTTATCGGCATCCAAAAAGGCCTTTTCTACCTTCCAGAAAACGCACCCACTTGCAAAGCGTCAAGAAATCGTGCGAAAAGCACTTGATATCCTCTTAAGCAAGACAGATGAATTGGCAAAGGAGCTCACTGAACAGATGGGAAGGCCGATTGCTTATACTGGAAAAGAGATCGCCACAGCGGTCATGCGAGCTCAATACCTACTAAAGGTCTCGGATGAAGTCCTAAGCGACTCACCAGGAGAAGCTCAAGAAGGGTTTAAGAGATTTATCAGAAAGGAGCCTCTAGGACCGGTAGGCATTATTTGAATATCATGTGTTATACGGGAAGACAAAGTAAGACTAAACTGATATGACCATAGGTTCTGATTATCTTCGCTTGGAATGTACTTCACCATCTTTTCTTTAAATACTCTCCACGGCATGGTGACTATTTGAGAGCTAACCGTACTATAGTACCCGTACCTCATTCTGATAAACTCCTTGATCCCGGCAATTCTGGCTGGAAATACTCTTCTCTTGAAGCCGTCGCCACAGACCCCAACGATCGCCGAGCATATGGTCTCTATTTTTGCCGAAGCTGGTCTACCGGAAAACGTCTTGCAGACTGTCCATTGCGGGAACAATGCCACCCTTGAAGCGCTTATCAGGGAACCTGACGTAAGGTCCATTGCATTTACCGGATCTGTGGCCGGAGGTATAGCGGTGCAGAAAGCTGCTGCGTCTAGAGTTGTTCCAGTTGGATTGGAACTTGGTGGGAACGACCCAGCCTATGTCCGTCCGGATGTGGATATCGCATGGGCCGCTGAAGAGATAGTTGACGGCGCAGTTTTCAATTCTGGGCAAAGTTGCTGCTCCATAGAGCGGGTCTATGTTCACGAGAGTATATATGAAGAGTTCTTGGAGAAGCTGGTAGGGGTGCTTAACGGATATAAGCTAGGTGATCCCTTAGACAAAACAACCCATCTAGGCCCCGTTGTATCCGCCAAATCTGCCCGGACTATAGCCGAGCAAGTGAAAGACGCCGAAGACAAAGGTGCTAGGAATTTGACGCCAAACGTTTATTCTGAGGGGTCAAAGCTTGGAGAGACTTTCGTCAGGCCGGAGATTTTAGCAGATTGCAGTCACAAAATGAGAGTCTTGACAGAAGAGACGTTTGGGCCCATTATTCCTGTCACAAAAGTCTCTGGTGACGATGAAGCTGTGAGTTTGATGAATGACTCGGACTTTGGTCTCACGGCGAGCATCTGGACGAAGGACGTTGAGACCGGGCAAAAACTCGCGGAACAGGTCGAGGCGGGAACAGTGTTTGTGAACCGATGCGATTATCCTAGTCCGGTGAGTTCTAGAGCATCTTGTCACTTTTAAGTTTCTTTTTCTAGACATCACTTTGCTTCTCTGGCGAGTCCGCGGTGTTTTCGCTTTTTCTTCTCCACCTTAAGCTTGTTTCACCTCGCGAGAAAACCCGGAGACGAGGTCTGGTTTTGGAGTTCGCTTCTTTTGCTGCAACTCAAATGGCGCTCTCGCCCACGTGCAGGGAATCTGTCCGATAACGCTGACACGTTATTGATCGTTGAACCGTAGGATCTTGCTTGGACTGGCTGGAAAGATTCAGGACGAGGTGTGACATTGAGCAAATTCGGGTTCGATGCATTTGTAAGGCTGAAAAGTTTTCACTTCAAAGACTACCCGAAATAAAACAATAGCATTAAGGTAAGGTAGAACCCAAATTTCCAAAATTGCTTCCTAAATTTTCAACTTACCTATCCGGTTTCCAACAGTTAGACTCGGAGAAGTCTGTCGTTATGCAGGATTTTTTCTCTTTTTTTCCTTAATAGCTTACTCGCGCGTTAATTAAGTCCTGAGAAATTTTGTGAGGTCGTTGCTACCAAGAATTCTCAGGACTTAATTAACGCGTGAGTATTAGTCCTTTTTTTATTTATGTGTTTTATATTAGCTTCAGAAATTTGGCTACAAAAGACCGAAGTAAGGACCCGATATCAACTCGGCTTAGAAATGGATCCTACTATTGAGAGACAATACCATATTTCTGAATCGACTCGAATAGGCACCCCCTTCCTCCCACTGCCTCTGTCGCACTCCCCACCTTTCCTGTGTGATGACCCCGAGGCCTATTGACAAATATCACGGTTGCACTTCTGTGCAGGCTAGTTTAAAATTCCCGATAACTGGGACCCAGATCGGATACTGGGCATCTTCAGAAGCTATGACGGTTACCATTAGTACGGGAGGAACCGAACGCACAAAGCCGCATCATTGCAGCCGGGGTAGGACGGTGTAGTCGGCGATAATCTGTATATAGAATGTTTTACTCTATTTGCAAACCTAGTGATAAACAATGACCACGGCAGTAGGGGATGACGTTGAGGCAGATCTATCGAAGATTGTGCCCAGCCTGGGGTATTATCTTCTTTTTGCTTAGCCAAAGTTATAAGCGGCCTGCCTAATCTTGCATGGTTGGAGCACTTGCTAGTTTTTGGTGGCAGCGCCTCTCGAGAAGCCGTGTG